CGCACGCGCGCACGCGCACGCGCACGTGCGCACACGCACAAGCACGCGCACGCACACGCGCACGCGCACGCGCACGCACGCGCACGCGCACGCGCGCGCACAAACATAACTGCACACATACACACAAACACACCCACCGAGGCACCCACCCACACACACACACACACACAAACGTGCGATACGCCTCATCGGCACGGTTGCTGTTGCACGGCGCAGTTAGTACTGTGTGTTAGCTAAATGAAACGTTGCTTGGAGCCGCCACAAAAAAATAAAGAAACAACGGGGGGGGGGGGGGGGGGTGTTTGTGGCTTCATAGGTGTTCAAGTCCAGCGTCTCGCGATTATCTGCATTGCACAGGCCTTTCCTCTTTGGGTTGGGTTTGTTTTCCTTAATTTGAGCGCTTAATTTTGAAGTTGGGGCCAAAGCGTCCGGCCAACTTCTAGCATGCGAACAAAAGAGAAGCTTCGCTTAGCGTCTAAGTCGTACCAGGAAAGGCCTCCCAGCCTGCAAGCGCCAGTGTAAGCACCCCAAAATCCCGAGCATGTTGGCAAGGAATGCACCTTAGGGTGTTGCCCTCTTGGAATCGGTTCTCGGTTTGGAGCTCTGCCTTCAGCATATGTTGCTACGTCGAGCGTCTACTTGTTCATAGGACACTTGGGCCTTAGCCCATTCAGGTTGTAGCCTTGGGGTAAAAAGTGGTTCGGTTTCCTGTTGTCTCCCTTGGGATCACCTGTCTACCAGCCGGTATTTGGAATCGCCTACCCTCGCAGTCCATTGGTTTTGCCATCCTGTACGACACTCATTTCAAAAGGGGGGGATCACCCAAGCGGTCGCAGGCTTAAAGGCTTCTAGTTGAGGACAAAGGCTTGCGCAATAAAGAAATTGTAAGAGAATGGTGTTGACTCGCAACATAATGCGTCGATGCCAATTACCGGATACCATGCTCCCCGGACGATGGAGGCAGGCTTAAGCATATCTGCATACTTAAATGCAGCCGCGAATCTGACATGCCACAAGGCCTCGTTTAATGATGGGACACTTCATGGGCCGACCGAAATGCAAAGTGCAAGCCGTACCCAAAGCCTGCGCCCACTGGAGGATTGCATCTGGCCGTAGGGGCTCATCTGTTGGGCCATACCTGGCGGTTTCGTGAATGTCTTGCACACAGCAAGGGCCCAAATTCATTCGAAACCCTGGTCAATTGGAGAAAAAATACATTGCTTGCTTTGGCTCATGGCTGGCTTTGCGGAACTTTCTGCATCAGCACCCAGGTTGTCGTGTGACCTTGAAACATTTGGAGGTGGAGCCTGCTTCATGTTGCTTGTTTTACATGTTGTTTCATGTTTTGCATATGCTTCAGGGGAGGCTGAAACAAAGTGTCGCCTCGTTTTGATCGCCAACATTATGAGATGCAACAGGTGAAACAAGCCGACTTGCGCACCTGGTGAGGTGACATTTTGCAGGAAAGAGAAACAACCCGCTTGTCACTACATCAACTGTGATCAACTCATGATACACTCATGCCGGGAATGCTGCGGCGGGGGCCAGAGCAAATCAAAGTGAGTCGCAGCTGCGAAAGTGATTGCAATTGGTACCGCACGCGGCGGGGGTCAGGAACACCACCCTTTAGCAGTTGTCCGGCAGGCAAGCCAAGCCGACCCACATCCCCGCAATGAGGTCAGGAGCTGCCTGCCCAAATGCACCACTGGCACTGAAGGCACTGAAGGTGCGGTTGAGCTGCCGTCGTCTTTCTCCAAAAGGTCCGGCCGAAGGCCTGCCTGACGCCAGTTTCAAATGAACGGCTCATCACTTCGAATGAACCGCTTGGTCAATGCAATGTCAGCCAATTGAGTAGCAAAGCACAGGCTGATCGAGACAACACCCACCATTTCACATCAATGTCAGACATCCCTCGACTGGTGGTTCGGGGTTGCACATGGCTCGTAACAGCTACCGCTCCTCACCCAGACTGAGGCAACTACTTAGACAGCAACCAAATCAAGCAGCGCATACCTCCCAAAAGACATCAACAAATCAAGAAGCAAGGCTAAAGGGCACCTTGATGTGCGCTGTACGCAACCACGCTCATTTCCTCCAGCGCCTGGCAACTCAAAACACCGCTTGCGCAAGCAGTGCTTTACGTTGAAGGGGGGAGTCCTTGGAAAGGGCCCACGTGAACTGCAGGCTTCCACATTTTGCCAAAAACCTTGCTGCATGCAAGTGCGCTGCGACCATCTGAGCCCATAAAGGCTCCGATGCATGTTGCAAGCTGGCCGGCGCCCTGCTGGTGCCGACCCAAGCGCCTGCTTCTCCGAATCTCCACTTTGCCTTCGGGGCAATCGGTTGCCTCAATTCTGTGAATCAGGCCATCCCTACAGCAGGGCCATGTAAACTACCACAATGATGCGATACGCGGGGGTGCGCAGCAAAGGGCATCTTGAAGCAAACAAACATAGCACGCTCAAGGCTGCCACCACTTAGCCAATTTGCCCTCCCCCCTCTGAGCAAACCCCATGGCCAGTTGTGCGATTGGACTGGTCAATTGCCCGGCCTTGGTGGCGAGGCACCTGCCCAGTGAAACCAAATTCCTTGAGACCGCTTTCATGACAAACATGACACACACACACATGCGCACACTGCCTTCATCCGTGTGTGCAGCTTGGGCGGGCACCTGTCAGCACGCCCAGTTTAAAACCAGCTGGGCTGTTTAGTAACGCCCCTGGCCGTTAGCTGCAGGCCTGTTAACTGCAACACTGACGCGTTCGCAGACATGATGGAGGAGTGCCGAGGCGAAACGAAACAGTAAATAGAATTCACATTTTGCATTGGGAAGCAGCGTGCTCGGCAACTCCACCCTTTGGA